GTTGCAGTGCAGCGACATGAAGACGCACTGCGCGCCGGACCCATCCCGGGGCCTGGCCTGTGACTACTTTATCTCTGTGTATGGCTACGAAAACGCGTCCTTCTCCCTCCTGGTCTCATTGCACCAGGGCTGGCGGGAGCCGATCGAGCTTTTCCCCGGCTTGCCTCAGGCGGGGGAGGTGAACGAAGGAGAGTACGTGTACTACTCCTTTTACGTGCCTCCCGACACTGTCAGCTTGCAATTTGTGCTGACGCCGCAAGACCTGTGGGGCGAGGACAAGGACGAGGCGGACGACTGGGACGTCTGGTCGGACGACTGGGACGATGTCGCGGACCAGGACCTTTTCCTCACGACCTCGCGGGATCGGGAGCCAGGCGAGGACACCTTCGACCTGAGGAGCACCAGTTGGGCGGGCGTGGAGGAGATCACGTACTCCGCGGCGGAGCTCCAGGAGGAGGGAGTCTTTTGCACCGGGTGTACTGTGTACCTGGCTGTGTACGGGTACGCCGGGCAAGGGGGCGAATACACGCTGCGGGTCGAGACGGGGCTGGTGACGCTCCAAAATGCCGTTCCCGTCACCGGCCATCTCGTCAAAGGTGGGGCCGCGCACTACAAAATTTACAGCCGAGACTCGAACGCCCATCTGCTCTTTTCGGCCGTGACCCTGTCGGGCGATGCGGACCTCTACATCTTGGCCGTGGAACCACCAGCGGCGGATGACGACAACGAGGATACCCAACAAGTGCTGCCCAGCAAGGAGCATTACCACTGGAAGGGTGACCAGGTTGGGGACGACGTCGTGGAGATCGTGCCATCGGATGCCCATTTCTGCTCCGAATGCGACTTTCTGGTGACGGTGGCGGCCTTCACGAACACCTCCTACGTCCTGACGGCCTCCGTGGAGGCGATGAGCATCGTGCCGTTGGCGGGAGGACGGCCGCAGGTCGGGCATGTCGACAGGGACAACATGCAGTACTTCTCCGCCGTGCTGGGCTCGTCCACGGAGGGCCTGCGCGTGAGTCTGACCCTCTTTTCAGGACACGCAGAGATCTTCGTGGCGGACCGCGTCGACCCCTCCCGGCTGCCTTTGCCCGAGGACCCGACCAGCTGGCGGTACTCCTCGCGCAGCAACTCCAGGGGGCGCAACGAGGTCGTCATTCCCGGGCCCCACCGCAACCGGACACGCTTCGCGATCGGCGTGCGGGGCCTGGAGGATGCCTCGACCTTCAGCATCCTCGCCTCCTTCTCCCAGAGCCTCATCTTCTTACAGGAAGGCGTGCCTGTCCAGCAAAGCCTCGCGCCTGGGCGCATGGCGTGGTTCGTGCACCGGCTTGCGCGGAAGGAGGACGTGCGGGTGGCCGTGACGGCCCTGTCTGGAGACCCCGATATCCTGGCCAGCACCCTACACCCCCGCCCCGCCTGCGTGCGACCCCCGGGCAGCAGTGAGGGGGAGACGGGGACGGCCTCTTACGTCTGTGGCAATTACACGTGGATGGCGCAGACCTATCAAAGCGACGAGTTAGTGATCTTGCACGATTTGCCCTGTGAAGAGGTGGGGAACACGCGCGTGAATACGAGTGCGTGCGCGCCGTACATGCTTTCGCCGGGCCACTCCCTGTATGTGGGCGTTTTTGCTTACGACAACACAGCCGACACGACGTTCACCCTGACACTCACAACGGGGAGCGGCCACACCAAACTTTTGCCGGGGAGACCGCAGCACGGGAATACGCGGCTGGGGGCAATCTGCAAGAGGCGTCGCGCCGATGGGTCGTGTGATACCTCCACTGCAGAACCGCCGGCGGATTCGTCGAAAGCTTATGTGGCCTACTACAGGTTTCTGGTCTCCCCACCTTCAGCTCTCTTTGGAGAAGACGAGGCTGCGCACGTCTCAGTCGTGCTCGAGCCCGTATGTAACGCTACCACGTTTACGTGGGAGGGGCTGGAGACCTGTCGCGTAGGCTGCCCTTGTGACCCCTTGGAGCTGTACGTGTGGTCGTGCGCCGAGAGCCAGTGCACTTCTGAGGACGAGTATCCCCACCCTGACCACTACCAGACGAGGCACATTGCGGCGCAAGCCTATAACACAGTCTTCCTCGCGCATGATAAATACAATCCCAACAACGGCTTCTGCAATCCTCAGACGGCCGGCGAGCCCTGCCTCTATTTCATCACTGTCTATCATCCCGAGGGCGGAGGAGTCAGTAGGGCCGTCGAGGGGGGGGGATTCACCATCACG